ATTCAGCATGCGGCCCAGCAAGCAAACACACAAGAAGGGTTGGTTTGGCTTGACCTTCCAGAAACAACGCTAGCAGGTTCGATTACTGCGAATACTGTTCGATTTTTGCCTTGGACTGGTTTACTTTTTTGAAAACTCGAAAATTACTTAATTTTTTCTGCACGCAATAACGGTATTTTTAAGAAAAAATGCTTACAAGATAAGCAGCATAGTAATAAAACATTTGGAGGTTTCGTAAGATTTTGTTGAAATCGACCGGATGCGAGTTCATACAATTGTCGCAGACTACTTTTTACAATTTCAATGAGAATAGTTGAACTGGAGTCAAAATTCATCTGGGGAAGCAGGTCAAACTGGCGTCAGCTCATTCGCAAATACTCGATCATTTCCCGCCACCACCAGTCCGCCCCCCCCCTTCCTGTGTAGTTAATCTGGTTTATTGAGAACATACCCATTTCGCCCACTACGACTCCCCCCCCCCCCCTACACAACCCAATACGACCTCGTCATCTGAGCAATCGGCGCAGAAGGGTTGTTGTCCTGTCAGGGAATGGAAAAGGACCGAGTCTTCGAAGAAACGATTTTTTGAACAATGCATCCTTGCAGCTGTTATGATTGCTTCTACGTCTGGTATTATGTTTCTTGAAACAAAATACGCTATAAAACAACGGTATAGAAGTTTTATGTTTTCCCTGGTTTGTATGTTTGTTTTGAATAAATATGGAATAAACATGTTTACAGTCATGTGCATCAGAATTTTTGTATGATCAGAACCAGTGACTCCTCACAAGGAGGTCTTTCCAGGCAAGTGCGCTTTTCTAAATCGGTTTTGTGCAAATGGAACGCATCCAGGGAACGCAAGAACCCCATTTTCATATTCACTGAACGGTCATAGGCACTACAAAAAAGAAGCATAAGGTAACTGTTACGGTTTCGATCCCCGTGACGACTCACAAATCTTGCGTTTGGATTGCCGCCGTAACGGCTTGGTGCCAAAGTCGCTGCTAAAGATCAAAAAATCAGATGTTCGAATTCCACTTGCTCAGGACAATGTAGATTTTTTTTTTAAGATACATTTTTAGGCCCAACTGGAGCCACCTTGATTGCAAAAATTTAAGTCGCCGCGAGGGTAGAACCAACAAGAGTATTAATTCAACACTTTTTAGGTACTACTAAAGACCGTACCAGGGCGAAAAAGAAACATGGTTTGCTGGTCCATACATGCGATCCCTGCAAGCATGTATAAATCTTTCAAAAGCGCACTGCTGCCCTGAAATGACCTCCCCTTGTCAGTGCATGATTTTTTGAGACGACGGAAAATTGTTAGATCCTTTTTAACAGTTCGGATGTAATCAATTCTCAAAGTATCTAGTAAGAAAAATAATAGCTTCTGAAGTAAGTGCCATTTTCGAACGCTCGACATCCTTGCTGAGGAAAAATGTTCCGTGCCGTTTCCAAGTTGAGGCGCTATGTGGCGACCTTAGTATCGCTTTCCATGTTCACGTAATTCGACCGGTCAGTACTCGCCTCTATGAAGGTAAAGTGTCGATGCCACATCAACTCATGTTCGTCACTGTCTGGCGTAATTCAACGGAGTTCCGTTGGGAGGCACTCAGCGCGAGTAAGCCGTGTGGAATATTTGTGCAGTGAAAGGACCATCGCACGCTGAAGAGAAGGATATGGCGAAATGGTTTGGAAGTTTTTCTCCAGGGCGCGCCTGATAAAACCACCCACCTTCCCATAGCACCGCTAACTGACCGGCAAATATTGGACTCATCCAGAGCTTTTTGAAGCAATCCTTGAGAGTAAGCCCGTAACTGCAGTAGACTTCCTGGCCCGGTATCCCTACTTCCCTTAGGGGGACACCGTCCTCCGCTGGCTGATTCTATCCCATGGGTTTGAGGAGATAACCGGCTGCGTTCATAGGACCAGCCATATTCTTGTGTTCTAACTCTAGAGCAGCGAACCCTTCAGCAAAGAAGTGCCTCTACAGGGGTGGGCACTTAACATCAAACGGGTTCAATGCGGGCCCATGAGCAACCGCTGTCAATGGTGGGCCCATGAGCAACCCTATCTCCCCCAAACTTAGGAAAGAATCAGCGGCAGGGAAGGCGTCCTGTTGGGAGCAGGATAGGATACGGACCCAGTTCTCCCAGAGAACCATGGGTCGCTCCCTTTGAACCATGGGAAATTGTAGAAGTTGGGAAGGTGGAATCGTCACGAGTTGGATGAAGACGCTCGGATGACATGGGAGAACATCTTCCAAAGTTTGCTACATCTACATGCTACATCTACATTGGGTTGTCAACAAAACTTTCGCCTCAGGTGGGACTCAACCCGCACCTCTCGTTTTCCGGACAACAGTTACGCTAACAGCTAACAGTTACGCAACTGTAACTGTAATCAGTTGCGTAACTCGGTAGCGCACTTGTCCGGAAAACGAGGGGTGCGGGTTCGAAGGGCGAAAGTTTTGTTCAGAACCCAGCATTCTTGTGAAACAAAGTTCTAAGATAGTTTTTACTACTCCCATGAAACACCTATAAAATTAGTGGGATAGAGCGAGTGATTAGCAACAGCACGTGTCGTTGTTGATCCTTGCGCTTCCATCCCCCTTACCTCCCTTCTGAGCAAATACGACTCCTTGCCGAGTACTTCCTTGACCGTTGTTCACCCTGCCACACATTATACCACGGCAGTATAGTGATACTTAGTTGAAAATAAGGTGACCTCTGATCATTGTGAGAGGCCAACGTTTGATTATTTAATGAGCACGTTCAACTAATATGTACATTTTTCTCACATGGGTGTTCGGCAGAGCTTTCTTGAGTGTCAAGCGCACGTGACCGTGACACTGGTGAAATGTTTGGTCTTTTAGGGTCGTATTGGAGTTATAAAGGATTTGTTACTAAAGAAGTATTGCAAATGACGCGCGTTTCGCGTTGTCAACGGGATTTTGGAGAATTCGGATAAGGGGTTCAAGTTTGGTGGCTGTTGGAGATGGGTTCCTATTTAGGACATCTTTTATCACTATGTTTGGAGCTTCCTCATCAAAATCAACTCCTCTTTTATTTTAGCCAAGTTTCAGCCTTCAAACTCGCGTGATAGCTATTTATTATATAAAAGAGCCTGTCCGAAAGCAATAAGCACAGGATTGAACAATTGCCAAATTCCTCTGAGGTATCACAGAAACCAGAGCAGCAAAACTTGTCATTTCAATTTTGCACGGAAGTCAAATGCACAATGAATCAGAAATTATGACAGATCAACAGATACAGGATTGCGGAGAGCATTATCGCTCTTGAGCAACTTCTTGTTAAACATTAGCTGCATTATAGATGTCGCTTTTGAATGTACACAAAACTTGTTGGAGCACCAGCAATGGTGCACCTACTATGGCCAAGCGATGGATACTGCCTATTGTGTCAGACTTCGCCACTCCTCACGCAGAGGCTCTACGACGATCTCGAAGAATCGTAGCAACTGTGAGCATTGGAACTTGGACACCCAGAGTACGGATTCTTTGTACTCTCGGGATAGTTTCTCCGTCACAACATGCCGCTTTGACTTTGATAAGCAAAAATTGGATGGAGTGTGACAAGAGGTGTCTGGTGGAGAAGTCACCGGTCGTCAGTCTGTTCCCCCACCTGTTGCTGGTGAATTTCTTTTTCATGAAATGCAGCTTGGTAGTCGTAAAGTAACTTCGTAAAATCATTGTTTTTCTTTCTCGTCGAGCCATGAACAATTTGATGTAGGTCGCTTTTTCTTTATTAGGATTTGTCGTAACGTGTAAGCTGGATACAGTCTTTTCAAGAGGTCGAATAAACTTCACGTGTCCACACAGAAGTTTCGCGTTACTCATCCTGCAAAAGAAAAACTCATGTTTAATCCAAAACGATATGGGAACAAGTTATCGCCTTCTACGATTCTCTTCTAATGGAATACTTGAGGCGAGAACACGAGACGAGACTGGGATTCTGAGAGATCCGCAGATCTGAGAGCGAAGGCAAAAGAGGGAAATCGACCGACGCGCAATTAGGCAGCGAAACGGTTCGGCTCGGCGACTAGCGCGCTCACTCATTGTCGCGGTTGGCTTGGCACGCCACTGACTATCGAATCACTCGCCGCAGTTCTATACGTGGCAAGTGATTAGCAGAGAGCAGAGAGAGTTTAGTGTTGAAGAGCGCACAGCGATGAGAGAAGAAAGGAATGGGTCCAATCCCTTGGAGTTTGGGACGTTTCAAATAGCTCCTTCTTGATCCTTGCTCCACCAGCCACCTCTACCTCTATTTCCAATGAGTTAACTTTTCATCGTGAATTCTCTCTTTAAGTATTATACCTCTGAAGTTCAAGCGCAGCCAAGTGAGATGAAGCTAAATCTGTGTAACGACCTAATATGTATTAGGTTGTTGCAATATAAATGTCGCACAGATTCATTTTCGCCCCACTGCGCAGTTATTCTGTCTCCAGAGGCACTTATGTATTCATTGAAACGAGGACATCTAATAATATAGCAGGCAACTATTTGGTCATCCAAGATAAAGCATTGGACGATGGCCTATCTGCTTTTGATATACGCCACGCATTACACTTCGATTCAGAGTCTAGCAGTACTCAAATGCTACTTGGTCAATGCAATGTCATGTGCAGACTAGCTGGGTGATGGGAAGCTCGATGATTCTGGGCTTTTCGATGTAGACTAGACTCTCAAATACCGTCAATGGTATGTGCCACCCACTATCACCACCTTTGCTACTCCCTCCTCCATTCTGACCATAAGCGCTGGAAATATGTACATTTTGTGGACTAAAAGCTTTCAGAGCCGCAAACAATGAGCAGTCAACCCTTCTAATAGTGTGTATTTTCCTTGCCTGGCTCCTTGACATAGCTTATTTTTTCGAACACTTAAACTGCAAACACAATATTGGAGAGAAACTACTTTATTCCAGATGCAAATCTGAGAATGGTTCTCGCTAGGCAGTGTATGCACTGCTTGAAGATGCTTAGCGTCTTCGGGTTCCATCTTCGAAGAACACTCCTCCGTCAATAGCGCAGTATTTCGGGCAGATACCTCTCTCTCCAGCACCTCCAGATTGTCCTGGTGCACCGGCTTGTCCAGGATTTCCGTCAGAACCGGGACGACCAGGTGCTCCAGGTGGTCCCTTAGGTCCAGGAGCTCCGACTCCTCCAGATCCTGGTGCTCCATCCTGTCCAGCAGGTCCAGGTGGACCTTGTGGTCCCGCTGGACCAGGTGCTCCAGGTCCTGAGTTTTCAGAAGCTCCAGGCTGTCCAGGTGCACCAGGCTGGCCGGGTGCTCCATCATTTCCTGGTGCTCCAGGAGGTCCGGCTGGTCCAGCAGGTCCAGGTCCACCAGGTCCAGCAGGTGATCCGGGCTGTCCGTCTTGGCCTGGTGATCCAGCTGGTCCAGGTGCTCCAGCAGGTCCAGGTGGTCCTGCGGGACAAGGCTGGCATGGAGGAGGAGTGATTGCCTCACAAGGTCCAGCCGCTCCTCTGCCAGGGTTACCGGGAGCTCCGGGTGCTCCTGGCTTTCCTGGTCTGCCAGGTCTTCCGGGTGTTCCGCCAGGTCCAGCTGGTCCAGGGTTGCAGCAGCCGCTGCATCCTCCGCCGCCACCGCCGCCGCCACTGAATCCTCCGCCGCCTCCTTGGCTGTAGGCCTGACGGGCCGTCCTGTTCGCTGCTGGTACGTCCTTCATCGAGTGCACTTCAGTCCAGATGTCCTTGGCAGATCCCTAAAGTGCTTATTTGTGCATACTTGTAAAATATATGCAGAAAATGAGTAAACAGGACTGAATTAGGTGACAGTACCTTGCAGAAGTTGACTTCATTGTGGACCTGTCGTTTGACGTGGTGCACATAGTTGTAGACCATAGGAAGAGTGACGAACACCGACACTACGGCCACCACCGAAAAGGTGACAGCGGCATAGGCCACGAAACGATAGGCTTTAATGCGGGCGTCCAAGTCCATTGCTGGTTGACGGGTGACGATCTACACGGCCACGGCCTTAAGTAGTAGCTAGCGAGAACCGGCGCCCCCGTCACCGCGACTCCCATACCAGTTACCGTTATGCATCCCCTGACTACAAGATGATTTGATTGCTTACTGCCGAACACGCACAACACTCTGTCTGAGACCGCTATTCTTCTCCGATTGCAAACCGTTGTTGATTAAATCAACACAAACACTTTGTTCCTGAGATGACATTCAGAAAACAAAATAAAACAAAATCGTAAACCCATTTGGGACCTGCTTCGTTTCCAAAACACCCTTCTATTCTTGGAGTAACCAAAGCAAACCAGATTGTTGTTCATTAAGCAATCAATTAGCCACGGGCTAACCACTGTCATATCCATTTGCGATCAGCTGAAAGTCCCACGGGCTGCTGTTACTATCGAAAAAAAAGACTTTGAATGGAGACCGCACGTATCAAACCTGGTTTAACCATAAGTGCCCCTGCAATCTATCCTCCTACTTTGCACTGAGGATTGCACCCAGGGTCATGCGAGGCGTCGAGGAAAATTTTGAAATACTGAAATACGAGTCCCCCCGCCCTCCTCAATTCCTCAGCAGCATTTCTTGTTGAGTAGTCGATTCGGGTCAATCGCCGTCCATTTTCCACGCTTCCTGTCCCTCTTGATTTTTTTCCTGAATCGAGATTTTTTCTTCAAGAGAGACTAGTTAGAAACTCGCGCAACCGAACTGAAGCCCACTCTGGGCTCGCCGTTCTTCACATCCCTCTTGGATTCGTGGACCTCATCTTGAAAGTAAAGTATTCATCGGAAAACGTGCGAATTTCGGATTCTTCAAGCTTATCGCATTAAATCATGGGAGCTAAAAATACAATCGGGCCCATTCGAAGCACGAAAATATATGTGAGCGGAATAACAAATTGTTTACCTGAAAATCCTTCGTCAACTTTGTCACAGACGCAACACTCGTTGTTTGTCCTCCTAACACATGATGATCATAACTGCATCGATCGCGGCCGGACCTCTTCTTCCCAGCGGGCCACACTCACGACTCCCCTGTCCATTGTTGAGGATTCCTCAAATGCACGATAATAGTTTGAGTGGCGATTCCCATACACCTGGTGTTCGAAATACGCTGAAAGCAAAAACTCTTCAGACCTTTGATTAGTCATCACACCCACTTCCGCAGAATTCAGAAGGGCATCAAATTCGTGGCATCCCCACTGCTGTTGCCCTTAGTCCGACGTCACAGCGATGTCATGTTTGCGAACCAGCGATTCCTAGCGATCGCTGATTCGCCAAACTATGACTTAAGAACCCGTTCACTTTCAAACAGCGTCCATGTCACGTGAAACATGTTTATAAGGCGGGCTTCCTTTATACGTTGGGTCCCGTCCGCCCACTATTGAGTCGCTGGACCTAGCTCGACCGCTGGCGGCAAGTTCGACTGCGCTGGCGTCGAAATCGCTCAATTCGCAGACATATGCATGGCCTACGGATAGCCTCGAATAAATCGATAGCACATAATTGGTGAACTGATGTGTACTGAGTCCGACATAACAACAGCTGTGGGAAACAAAGTGTATTATACAATATATGTCTGGGAATTTTTCCAATTAGAAAGATTGTTTCTTATGCTGTCTGTAATGGTTTAGTGAAACTCTAAATCTAACCCTCGCTAAAAGAGCCCCAATGCCATAGTTTGCGAATTCGAGCGGATTCGACCGGCAGATACGGCGGAGAATCAATAACGTTGTGTCAGCGAATCGACGCCGATCACCACACTCAATATCGCGGGACAGAAGCAAAAGTTCAAAGGCGTCCGCCACCTCAAAAGAGTCCCCTGTTACGTACACTGTTCGAAAGTAGGGGGCTCCTTTTGAACGTGGGTCCCGCCACTATTGAAGCGCGGTAACATCGTTGGGCTTCGCTGGTCGGCAGCTTCGACTTCGCTTGGCGTAAGCTCGGGACCAGCGATTCGCAACATATGACTTGACTGCTCGTCAAAAGTAACGCGATCCTCGCTCGCATCGAATTCGCTCGATGATGCGGACTCTGACGCGCCTAATTCCGTTCAGGAAAATAGTTAGTCGAGATTTGGAGAGTATAAGCTCAATGGTGTATCCATAACACCATATTGTAAATGCCGTAATAACGCTGAGACTTCACTGGTAGTAAGGCAGGTGTCAAAGTAACTGTTCATACTGACACTGTTGTCGCAGAAATTAGGATATTCAGCTGAAGACTGGTGTCAGACTTTGCGAATCCAACGATCTGCTAGCGAATCGTGGGGTACGAGCGTTGCACCAGGGGATCGAATTTTGTACCAGCGAATCGAATTATGTGCCAGCGGATGGAACGATGCAAAAGCGACTCGACACTGTTTGAAAGTGGCGGGACTCCGTCTCGTTTGTACGTTGACTCTCGCTACTTCCCTCAGCTCTCCCTCTCTCATGCCCTTGTGAGCCCGGGCAATGACGAGAGCCAATTTTCAAATTGAGCCCGCCACTTTGAAATAACTTCGAGCCGCTGGTACATTGTTCGAACCGCTGGTAAACAGCTCGATCTGCTGACGCAACGCTCGTATCCCACGATTCGCGAAGTCTGACACCGGCCGAAAAAATGGTCGAGGGTGTCAACTGAGAAAGTGGGAAAAAGGGCCAGTCAAAGTGATTGGTACGTGCCCAGCTTTTTCAGCTGACTCTCCCAATCAATACTTTCCTTTTGCATCTCTCTACTCGCTAAAAACAATAAAGTACTGAACGCCGACAGAATTGTTATTGCTCCTTACTACACCTATTTCTGCTGTTATCAGGTAACCTGTTTTTTCGTGTTCATACTTGTCCGAACATTGTGCAACTAACCGTATTTTACACAGCTGTGCAGGAACGATTTACATGGTTTCACAAGTCGTGATGTTTCGACACGTTTCAACAAGAGGGTTTCTTTTGGCGGCTTTTTGGATATCAGTCGGAAGTGCATATTCACTGGACATACCGCGCTAACACTAATATGTACTAACGAAACCAACTCTACATCAGTGTAAGTGCCTTTATTCTCTTCGTTATGGAATTATGGAAAGCAAAGGGATTCATGTCGTTAGTGGACGTAATAAAACAAAGTCATGATAAGTGAAACTGGTACCAAATAAGCATTATCATTAGAGAGATGAAATACCAGGCCGCAGATCTTTAATGCTCACATCAGGATGTCAGTAACTCTGGAATTAATGTGCAACCGGAACGACCCCCCCCCAAATGCCATGAACCAACAGAATCCTCGGAGGATGTCATACAGGATGCTGTACAGTCGCATCCGAAAGTTGGGGTGGGTGTGTCACCGGAAGTGATTGCCCTTGATAGAATGCGTGATAAGCTGTTGCCACATGCTTGCTAATAGCCAGCGATGTAGGTTTGGAACAGCTTATCCACCATATTTCTATCAAGTGCACTCACTTCCGGTGACACGCCCACCGCGGGTGTGGTTCACTAGGACAGAAGGCGACTTTTTCGCGGTTTCCGTAGCGCGAAACATTGTTCGTTGACAGAAATCTCGGACCACCGAATGATTCGCTTACGGAACCCTGATGATCAGCGGTGGACCTGAGGTTCCCGCACCGGAGGATGTTCAGCGCTGCGAAACGCGAAAAAACTGCTTTCTGTACTAGTGAACCACACCCGCCCACCCCAACTCACCGATATCGAGTATACATTTCAGATGTTCATTTGCATGATCACTCATGATTGCGGTCATGTCACATTTCTTTGAAAAACTGTTGTCTTCTTTCTACGCGTAGAAGTAACTAAACTAACTTCACTAACCAACGTTACTGAAGAAACGCAATTTAACCCTATACCGGTAAGTCCCTAGAATTTCAAGCATTAAGCTAAGGTTTTCATTCAGTTCGTATCACTTCCAGATCAATTGCTACCACAAGTGTCGTGCGAGGTTCAAAAACGAAACGACAGATAATGGCGCAACCTGATGCACTACAGTATTTAATAACAATGACTCTGCGAGAAAATCATGGTAAACAAAGCTTTTTCAAGTTCAACTTATCGGATGACTAGAAAAAAATCATATTCAAGCGCTAGCAAAATTTCTGCTGTCCATGCTCACTTAAGCGCTTCCCATATACTGAGTGTCCGCAGTTCTAAAGTCAATCTTATGCACGGTGACGCTCCATAAATTACAATTTCGACGGGTCTCATCCAGGCAGGGGCATGTGGTGGGACAGTCCATATTGCATGAAAAATCACATTTTCAGGGGAGGGAAGCACCGGGTGGGTGTAAAAGCCTAAGCGAAATGGTTCACGCACCCCGGGTTTCCCTCCCCTTGCAAAAATTGGAATTTCTGTAGCGAAAAAAAATGGAATTTCTGTAACCGACAAGAACTGTCACACCACATGCTCCCCCCTTACCGGATGAGACCCATTTCAACTCCTGCGAATGGTTTTATGCATTAAAAAACAGAACCAGCGCTCAACTAAAATGACGTCTATTCACTGTGCCGTCCCGGATACACACGCTCATTGTCAGACTAATCGAGCCTTCCAATCTTTCGATTAGTTGCTTCGAGACTCGCCTAATCTGTGAAGCTATATGGCTTACTCCCGGCTGTTGCATATAGCAATTGACTATGCAAATGGAAACACGATCAACATCGAAGCAGAACACGTGCGTAATTATCAAAAGTGTAGACTGATGGAATGGTGAGTTCTTTCCCTTTCCCTCCTTACTACCGAAACCTAAAGTTGTAGGCAGCAGCTGAATAAATGAGGTGCCGTTTTCTCAGCCTTCGAACTTCTCCGCTGAAGCATCAATCTGCGTCCCCCATATTCACAAGTCTTCAGCCAAGTAATCTGTAATAAAGGGGAAACAATCCATCACCTGTGTGACCTCTGTGAAAAAGCATCTGGCTACCGTGTTCCAATAACGAATAAGAAAGGAAATTTCTCGGTAAGCAGAATGATTTCTGCCGAAATGCGCGCCGTAGTG